TAAGCCCAGTATCTACCTGGCACAAGTTGCATTTTTCTTTTGTATAAGTCCAATACTTACCTGGCACAAGTTATATTTTTCTTTTGTATAAGCCTAGTATCTACATGGCACAAGTTGCATTTTTCTTTTGTATAAGTCCAGTACTTACCTGGCACAAGTTATATTTTTCTTTTGTATAAGCCCAGTATCTACCTGGCACAAGTTACATTTTTCTTTTGTATAAGTCCAATACTTACCTGGCACAAGTTACAATTTCTTTTGTATAAGCCCAGTATTTACCTGGTGCGACCCATCGACCAATTCAGCACAAGCATTTGGTCGATCCAATATCAGCATTCAATCAATCCAGCACCAGCATTTGATTGAATTGGCACTAGCATTCGGTCGATACAGCACAAGCATTCGACCACCCCAGCATTAGTATTCAGTTCATCGACAATCAATCAATTCTATGATAAGATGATTGGGAATATTTCATCAAATTTCTCTCATATAGTCATCATCGAGGAAAGGATTAAGAATGGTATGAGGAGTGGGAAGGTCGCGGTTGAATCTAGTGAAATAGCTGGTTTAAGAAAATTTTCAAATGGAGCAGGAAAGAAAAAGGAAGGAGATACAAATGCAGTGACATTCAACTCCCCTAGGTTACCTAACAACCAACCTCCTTATTTCTATATCCCTCACATGGCCTACCCAAATATCACCGCCATCTCACCATATCCTCATCAACTTATCCATCAAGCTCTGCAAACTTCACTCGCAACGGCTACCACACGACCACCTCAATCTACCCAGCCATGGAACCAAAATTCTAGCCATGTGAGGTCACAAAATACCCAAGATCGAAAACCAATTGAGTTTGACCCTATCCCTATGTCTTATACTGAGTTGTTCCCTCTCCTACTACAAAACTCACTAGTAGTACCTTGTCCGATGAAGCCCGTAGAACCACTATATCCTAGGGGATACGACGTTAATGCCAAATGTGATTATCATGCGGGAGCTATTGGTCACTCCCTTGAAAATTGTAGAGCACTAAAAATTAAGGCACAAAGTTTGACTAAGGCTGGGTGGTTAAACTTTAAAGAGGATAATCCTAATATTGGGAACAACCCTCTACTAGGTCATAGAGGGTCGACAGTTAATTCTGTTGATGGAAATAGATGGGATCCCTATCAGTGATCTGCGAGAAATCTTTTGAAGTGCGGGGTTTGAGTTTCCAAACTCAATGGCTATTGTTGAGAAAGACTCTCGTAAGGACAAACATGCTAGTCTGGTTCACGCTTGTCCACTAAACATGGAACTTAATAATTGGGAGATTGTCAAGTTGCCTGTGATTTTTAATTCAAATTTTAAGTAATTTTCTTGTAATGTCAGTCTTATTGCTCTGCCCAAGGCTTTAAGATTTATTTATTTGAATAAGGGCTCATGTATTTCCTTTTAAATATTAAATAAAATGCATTCATTCTTCTTTCATCTCTTACCCTTTCCTTTCTCCTTAATCTCAAAAATGCATTCACTCATCTTTCACCTCTTACCTCTTCCTTTCTCTTTAATCTTTTTATCAATCTTATCCTAACTTTAAAGAATGCGAAAAAATGCGCTTGAAAGTGATAATGCTAGTGTTGCATCAAATAATTTTGATTGTGCAGTTAACCAGACTTGTGAGGAAATGGAAAATGATTGCTTTAAATACTAGATGTATGCTGATAACATCAATGCTTTGCCAACTTTTCTTAATGTTTTGTCACCACCTTGGCCATTTTCAATGTGGGAAATGGATGTTATTGGGCCCTATTGAGCTGAAAGCGTCAAATGGACATCACTTCATTTTGGTTGCTATTGACTATTTCACCAAATGGGTTGGTTGAAGCCGCTTCATATGCCCATGTGACTCGAAATGTGGTTGCAAAGTTCATCAATAAGGAATTTATTTGTCGTTACGGTATGCCAAGCAGAATCATCACTAATAATAGAACCAACTTGAACAACAAGATGATGACAGAATTATGTGTTGACTTCAAAATTCAGCACCATAACTCTTCCCCATATCGCCCAAAGATGAACGGGGCAGTTAAAGCAACAAACAAGAACATCAAGAAGAGCATTCAGAAAATGGTGGTGACATACAAAGATTGGGATGAGATGCTTCCATTTGCTTTACATGAGCAACAAACAAGAATATCAAGAGGATCATCAACTGGGGCAACCCCATTTACCTTAGTTTATGGAATGGAAGCAGTCCTTCCAATCAAGGTTGAAATTCCATCTTTAAGAGTATTAACGGAAGCCAAATTAGGAGAAGCAGAACGTGTCCAAACCAGTTTGGATCAAATTAAATCTCATTGAGGAGAAAAGGTTGAATGTAATTTGTCATGGCCAATTATACAAAAAAAAATGCTCACTAGATTGAAAACCCAAAAGGGAAATCTAGGCAAAAGTTAGAGCGACCCGCTAGATTTATTGGATCAAGCGCTTACCACTAGGCCAAAAGCTATAGCTCATAGTCAGGGCGCAACTCTTTCTACTTAAGAGCGTTGCAACCCAAGCGCCATGATTCGACAGTGACTTGGCCCACCTAGCCTCCGCCACGGGACAATTGATGCAACCCGCAACAAGATTGAAAACTTGAAAGAGCAATCTAGGTAAAAATTAGGGTCAACAACAAAAAAAGGAGGCTCGCTAGATTGAAAACCCGAAAGGGCAATCTAGGCAAAAGTTAGAGCGGTCCGCTAGGTTGAAAACTTAAAAGAGCAATCTAGGCAAAAATTAGGCTAAAAAAATAAACACAAAAAAAAAATAGCTGGTTAGATTGAAAACCTGAAAAGGCGATCTAAGCAAATTCAGAGCAACATGCTAGGTTGAAAACCCGAAAAAGCAATCTAGCAGATAGGTATCATGCCAATTTTTCAGGTATCAATTGGGGCAAGCCATGGCAAAGCTGAAAACTGGGGAAAAATGCATTGAATTATCCTCTAAAGTTTATTGGCGAGTAATCAAGATTATAACCACTCCATCAAACATTGGAATTCGGTTGATCAAGCACAAGCATTCAACCACTTCAGCATTGTCATTCGGTTGATCAAGCACAAGCATTCAAGTACATCAGCATAAGCATTCGGTCGATCTAGCACAAGCATTCAACCCCTCCAGCACAAGCATTCAACATTAACATTCGGTTGATCCAGCACTAACACTTGATGATCTCAACACAACATTCTAGCATTGGACTGTTCAAGCAAAAACATCGAATCTTTCAAGAACTTACTTCATCAACAATAGGAGCTATGTCTTGGGTAGCTGGATAAAATTAATTCACATATTTATTTATTTCTTATCACAAATGATCTAAATTACCTTATTTAGATTATTTAATAAAAAGTAAATAAAGAGGGGCAACTGTGAATAATCAATTTTATCCGGACTCACAAAAATAATGAAATGGACATCTACTATGAAGAGGAGGAGTTCCCAAAGTATGGAGGCAACACCATATGACAACAAGAAAGTTTGAAGACCAAAAAAAAAAACTTTAAGTAGACCAAAACGGGCAGTACCAAGTTAGAAAAAAGAACAACAACCCTAATTGAGAACAGGCCGTTTCAAAATGGGAACGGGCCGTTCCAAGCCAATGAAAAGACCTAAATCCTTGATCTGAAATGGGTCGTTCCAAATTTTAGAAACGGGGCAGTTTGGGCCTAGAATGGGTCGTTCCAAATTTAGAACGGCCCGTTCTAGATTCATTTTTAGCTTATAATTGAATGATCCAGAACGGGCCGTTCTGATTTGGGAACGGGCCGTTCTAGCCAGGTCTGACGTCTATAAATAGACGACTCGGGCACATTTTTCGGACCAAAAAATTTTGTCCAAGTCTCTTTAGAGCTCGAAATTTCTCTTTCTCTCTCCTCTGTATTTTTTGAGATTTTGTGAGGAATATTGTAGTGTGTTAGGTCGCCAAAAAACGCCTAATAGATTGTTATATTCGAAGATTCAACAAGTTCAAGCATCTCATTTGGTATCATTTCTTTTCTTTTTATTTATTTATTTATTTTTTAAATTTTAATTTTTATTATTTAATAATTGCTTGTACATAGTGAATATGATTTGTTGTCTTTAAAATAATTGTTTAAAAAATATTTATTATACAACAAATAATAATGTTAATTGAATAACATTTTTATCTCTAACATTATTTGGTTCTAGGGGTTTAATGACTAGTCATTTGCTAGCTTAAACTCTCTTGTACAAATTTTTATTTTTTAAAAAATAAAGATATGTTGCAACCAATAACGTTAATTAAGTAACATTTCTATTTTTAACATTATTGGAGGGATTTATTGATTAGCCATTTGCTAACTTGAATCCTTATACAAAATCTATTTCTTTAGATAAAAA